AGATACTATTGAAGACATAAATATTTTGTAGATTGTTTGATATAAGCAAATGATGTATTGCTTCAATCTTCTTAATATTAAAATATGTACCATGTTTAGATACTACATAGCTAAAAATAATATTAAAGTGAATTACAAATAAGCACTTATTTATTTCAAGATAAATATTTAATTCTTAAAATTTTAAAAGCATAATATCATCTTCTTAGAATTAGAAACCAAGCCAATATAGGTACAAATATTATTAGGTAAAACTCACATAAATAATCTTAAACGGCCTTTAAAGGCCATCATGATGATCCACTAGTATAATGTATGTATATCTTCTAATCCATATGGCATCATCATTAGTATTAATAAGAATTATCAAGTAATAAACTCAGCGTCTAAGTCTAATGTTAAGATCTAATTTAATTTAATTTTTAGCAAGAATAGAAAGAAAATATTTAAAATATTTATAAAATAAAGAGAATATATATAGATAATTTCTTTATGTTAGATGTTTGTATTTACTTTTATCAAAAATGTTTATTATGCTTGGATTTGATTCAATTAGAAATTCTTAAATATAATATATTAACATAAATAAATATTTTTTTTACTTGAATTTGATTGTTAATGTAGATATTATTAATTTTGGTAAAGATTGAAAATATTGAAAAATATTAATTTTTTTAATATTTGATAATTTAATCTTACAAAACAATAAAAAAGTATTTTTGATAAAAAAATAGAATAATTTTCTATTTATAAATAAAGTCTTTAAGAAGATTATAAAAAATTAATAATCCTTATTAAAGAAATAATATGTCATTTATTATGCATTTTAAGACTATATTCTATTATCAATTTAGAATAATTAATGAAGCTAATTTATTGAATCTTTAATAATAAAGATAACATTAAATATTAAAACCTTATTTTATACATCCAATAAAATAAAAATATTAAAATTATTTAATTTTAAATATTAAGAATTAAAATTTTATTTATTCATACACATGTATTAAAACCACTATGTATTATAATAAGTTTAATAACATCTTCATAATCTATTATTATGTCACTGACACAATTGACACTATTAATTTCATAAATAAGAAGTATTATATAGAAGTAAGTAAATATGATAATATCTTATAGAAAAGATTCTCAGAAAATGTATAGCTATGGATTTGACCTCATTCATATTTATAGGTGATTGGTAGGATAAAACATTGGCTAATATATTGACCACATGTCATATATATTAGCCACTTGTGATATAAGTTGACCATGTGGCACACACATAGGAAACTTATATTGCAAGTTAAACACATGTTAGAAGTCCTATAGAACATCACCATGTAGCTTTTAGTTAGGTAGTATATATAAAGAGAAGAGTGAGGCTTTTATCACTCTCGTCAACACCTTTTTTCTTCTTAGCCATGTTTTAAGAATCTCTATTATTCTTCTCTTTGATAATAGATATTTTAGTTTTAATCTTATACCATCTTTGAATAAATATTTATTTTTTAAGAAACACAAGAGTGCATTTATTCTTCGATTGTTTGTAATTCATGTCTTTGAAATATGGCTATTTATAATTTATTTAGTTTCAAACCATATTTTTGTGTAATTTTTAAGATCCAAATAATTATTTATAATAGCTTTATTTCAATAAAAAAATATTTTAATTATTTTAATTAAACCAAGTCTCTTTAGATTCAATTAATTATGAGAAATTTTTAAAATATATTTATGAATTGTAAATAATTATTGAAAGAAATATAAAATTAAAAAAATCTTATATTTTCTATATATTAAATAAATTACTAACTATAATTTTTAAAATATATTAATTATTTATAATATTTATAAATATATTTTTTAAAATATTACATATATATATATATATATATATATATATATATATATATATACTTCAAATTTTTTAATTTATTTATGTTATTTAAAAAAATTAAGAATAGTATTAAAAACAAGAAATTATAAAATAAAATTGGTCTAAATATATATACTAAATAGGAAAAAAATATTAATTTTTTTATTAAATTTTATTTATTTTCATAAAATATTCCTTTGAATACATGTCTTATATTTAAATTGAATTAAATTATATATATATAATTTTAAAAATAATTATTTATTTTACATAGAATTCACTTTTATTTGTGTGTATAATTAATAATATATATATATATATATATATATATATATATCTTTAATTAATCAATTATTATTATTAAAATTTATATTTATGTATATAATTGATAATTTAATTTTTTAAAATTTAAATAAAAGTTTTATATTTATATTTATATTCTATAAATTTAATGATATATTGGTTTTCAAATATTTTTTTTTATTTTTAACATGTTTTTCAACCACATTAAAAATTATATTTTCAAAAATTTATAAAAATTAATAAAAAGAATCAATTATGATTTTTTAAAATACATGTATATAAATGTGTGTATATATATATATATATATATATATATATATATATATATATATTAGTAGTTTATGTGATAAAATAAAATAAGTTCTAACAAAAATAAACTATTATAAGTTATAAATAAACTAAATCCATTATTAATTTTAGAAAAAATATCATATATATTCTTCAAATATACTAAAATATCAAGAATATTCTTATATTTTTAATAATAGTAAATATATCCTTCAAATTTATAGTAATAGCAAATTAATCCTTGTTGGTAATACGTTATCACCAATATTCTTTGTTTAATCGTGATTTTGGATCCATATAAGGATGTTTTCAATACAATTTAAATCTTAATTCTTTAAAGAGTACTTCTTTTATATATCCTTTGAATTTAAAATAAAAAAATGTATTGGCACCAATTTATATAAAGAATGGTGCTTTGTACCTAAACATTGTGTAAGAGTGCTTGTTTGTTGTGCACTTTAGTCTAATCCTATACCTAAAGCTTTACTTCCAACTTTAAGAAGATAATCCTTATTAATTTGATTGAACAATCTTTTTTATCTTTTATATAGTTCATGTTTTTGCCACACATTACTTATTTTGAACAGTCTATACAATGAGAATAATGTTGTAAGCAAGAGCCCATAGCTTTTTCATAATGCATAGCTCATCATTGTTTGAAAAACTTAATAAGGCATATAAGATTTATTCTTCTTCAATGTCAACCTTCAAGCCATCAATAGAATATGACAAAAAGAAGCCCTTCATTACAATTGCCTCCTTTGATGCTTTGCAAATATACTCTTTGGTGAAGCAATGTAATCACAACAAAATTCATTGACACATTTAGGCTGTATAATAAACAAAGAATGTTGGTGATAATTTATGACCAATGAGGGTAAATTTGCTATTATTAAAAATATGAGGGATATATTTGCTACTATCAAGAATACATGGATATTCTTGATATATTAGCCTATTTAAAGAACATATATGATATTTTTTTTTAACTTTATTTTTTTAATTTTGCTTTGTTATTTATTTAATAAGTATTAATTTTTTATTTTAAATATATTATTATAAATAATTTATTATTCTACCAAATTTAATAATTTTCTATATAATTATCTATTATATATGTAGATTTACATTTTAAGTTTTCACAATCTTACAAAATCAATAGTTATATTATATATAAAAACATATGTATATATTTTTACAATATAATGGAGTTAATTAATTATTTATATTTAGTCATTTTTTCTTTTAATGAACAATAGTTATGGTGAAATTATACATTATCAATCCTAACTATAATATCATAGTAATTTTTTTATTATTATTATTGCACAAATCTATAAATAATTACATCACTTGATGGCTCTCACAAAATTACTTTAGTCATAATCTTGATAGGATAAGATTGTGTTAGTCCAGACAATGTTTACTTAAATCTTTTTCTACTAAGACTTGCAAATTGTTGCACAATTTAAGAACAGGGATAGAGATCTTGGAAGGTGGTAAGCTTAGAGAGAAATTGTTAGTGATCGTTAGAAAATAATTAAGACATTTCAAAATACCAGGATATGTTCTAGTTGGCGTAATTAACAAGTTGTTCATTGTAACAATGTCAGTTTAAGACTATAATTTACTCGGCATATTTTATGAACCAGGCGTAACCTTCATAAATAGCATAGCACTTCCGACTATGATTTTATCATTTTTAACTTTTAATTGTTTAAATTGAATTCCACAAAGATGATTTGTATTTAGCTGCAGGTTCTCACGTCACAGATCACTCCTTGAAAAAACGTGGAACAAATCCCGGTTGCAGCGGTAGTTTGCATCTTCCTAGCTAATGAAAGCAACCCGAAGTCTTAGTTAGTGCCTGACACTGTTGCCAGCACAAACAACTCTTCGCCACAGAATTCCTAAATAAATGCTCGCAAATTCTAATTTAAATGAGCTTTGCCAGCTATGAGGAGTCCTGGGATCGCTGAAAAAGAATTCTCGTACAACTGAAAACAGAACATACTACATTTATTCCAAGACAGTGTCTAGATCCGAATGTGGTCGGAGCCAGTGAGCTCAGTCCCAGTGTGCTTTGAAATTTCAGTGCGTTAGAATGCATACAATGACCATTACAATCAGGAGTCACTCCTGTCTGTTCTGTACTGCGTTTGCCGTGTATGAGTCATCGCACAAGCAATGGTGCTGTTTGGATGTAAACATACTACAGGGTTCAATACTTGAAGAACGGTCTGCCTGATGGAAGCTGTCGGAGGTAAATTTTGAACAGCTGTGGTAATGAGTGCCTGTAATTCCAAACAGCACTGAAGCAGCCCACGCAGGCAGGGAAGAATAACCCAATTGATTGACATCCCTATTTATACGGAATACTTCCCTTCTGACAGGTGAACTTCCGAATAACTCAATGAAAGCACAAGTGAGCTACGATGAACACAATTGAACAGGAAAGTAACGAGGCAGTGTAGAAAAGAGAAGAATGAAATGAAAATTAAAAATGAAAAACATGTTGTCCACCATGTTCGTGAAGAAGGACGAGAAGGACGAGAAGGCCCGAGAAAGTTTCACATGAATGTTCAAACGCCCGATTGAGCTCATATTCCAACCAATGGCCTACCTTGAAGGCCCAGACAAAAAACCGAAGCTTCCTGAAAGTAATCAAAAGCTACACAGGTAGAAGAGAAGGTAATCCTAGTGACAGTCATCAAAGATAACTGAGTTCCGCAAGAGACTGTTACCGGTACATCACATGTCAACATGATGATAACCTACACTCTGGGCACAATGGGTGCTTGGATTCATTGCCCATGACAGAAGCATGGGATCGAAGGCTATGCTGCAAACCTACACCGCTAAGTGAGTTATTGACGCACTTCCGTCCTACTGCAGTTAACCTGGAGCTGCCATTCAAATGAGACCCATTCAAATTGTGGTGCTCCAAAGGGCATCATCACCTTCTCCGCATCTTTGATGCACATCGTTCATCCTTTCCACAGACTTGCAGATTCCGCTACATGTCCAATCAAAAGAGGCAACGCATACGTTTCCTGCTTGAGCCTTCCACTCACAATCTGGGGGAGTTCCACAGCACATGCTTCGGTCATCAATGTGGTCAACATCCAAACCAATAATCCAGGCACCTAGAGATACATCTTCGTTGGCATACTTGTGCAAAAGTGGCCTGTTGACATCAATGTAGGTAGCCAAGTCCTTCGAAATGGCATAAATCTGTCCAGTGGCATGCCGGAAATACTTATTCCCTTCCTCTCCGAATTTCCAGTATTCGGGTTCGTGGTACTTCACACCCTTCTGCGCAAGAACAGGCCCAGATTTCATACATCCAATGTACACACGAGGCTTCGAACGATGTCTGGATAGGGTGGTCGCAAGCATCCCCACATTCACGTGCACATCGTCGTCAACCTTGACATAAAACTCCGCGTCCCATTTCTTCACTGCCGTCGAAAAGTAGATCTTGGTCTTCATCGAAAGCTCGTGGTAACCCTCCACGTGATCGAGCCGTAAGAAATCGTTATGCTGCGCATCTTCTGCTTCAATTGCTCGATCCAAAATGCCACCTGGGGTCGCACTGTGCCCAATTACGAACCGCATGACAATTCCCTTCTCTTTCTCCAGTTTCCTGAGCTGGTCACCCTGGGGCATCCATGTTTCCCGTACGGAGTCTCTCCTTTTGCGACTACTGAAAGCAGTATTAATTCCTATCACCACGAAGGCTTTCTGGCGACCCTCGATGGGCTCTGCAGCTGATTGATGCTCGATCTCAGTCCGTGAATTGATCACTGGTTCCCCTGAAGCTTTCTCTGATCGTGCAGCTGCAAGCTCCGCTTCTAAAGACGCAATCGTCTTGTCCAGTGTTTGAATCACTTGATGAGTTCGAGTTACTTCGTCCATGATCTCCGCCTGAGAGCCATCTCCGTTGCCTGACCTAGGCTTCGGGTCACAGTCCGATCGCATCACATCGCTAAACTCGGGACTAGCCCACATCCGATTCGTAAACAACAACCCGACGCAAAAACTCGCAACACAGAGCACCAGCACACCCTTCCATGTTATACTACTACTCCTCCCACCTACACTATTCCTCATCCGCATCGTTCGCCCCTGCGCGAGCTACGCAAAAACGGTTAAATGCGTCCTTCGCACACCAGCTACCACTCTGATCGAGTCCTCTTGATCACATCACTCTGTTCCAACTCTAGCTTGCCCTGCCTCCCAGCAGAAGCTGGATCTGACTACCAATCTTTCACACTGACTCCTGTGTCATAAGCTCCTGTGGACGACCATTGATTAGAGTCAATAAATGATAAACCTTCAGAAAAAAGGCAAACCAATTTGAAAAAAAGAACATGGAAACGCTCACAGCGCCTAAAATGACAACACAAAATCACAACAAACGCAGACTTGAGACAAGTTTTCTATGAAAGGTAGCACTCTATGAAGTACAGACACAGTCTTTCCACAAACTCAAGGCAAGAAGGAACACACACGCACGAAAAGCCCACACATTGTCAGATCTACGCGCATACGGTGCCGAGCACCAAGCGCTCGAATCTTCGCAAGAAATTCGATCATTAAACCATCTCGAATGCGCCAGGACGCAGCTCAACTTTGACCCCCACCGCTCGCCACAACTTCCCCGAATCTTTCCATATAACCCACCTCACGGTCCATCCGCGTTGACAATGACCGTTGCAGCTTCAACGCCGACACACATACTGCAACGTCCCACACCATGCAAACAGAAACAACCCACCTAAATCCAAAAAAAAAAAACGAATCAAACTCAGCAGCACGCGGCACCAATTCAACGGACTTTCCACTCCCTCCTTCAAAAAAACCTACGGAAGGAACCCTCCGCTCCGCCCCACCCCCATCTCAAGTCTGCGATAGCCACTTCCCGAATGGCTCTGCTAGGGTTGGCTGCAAGACTGCTGCCCCGGAGATCCGCGAGACACAGACGAGAAAGTCAAAACTTGACTGGCAGGCTCAACTCGCATCATCGAGAAACACCACCTCGCGATTTCCTTTCACACCTCCCAACCTCGCAATCAGAGAGACCCAATCAATTAACTCCGATGTCACCAATGAAGCTCCATCCTCGTATAATAATAGTAATAATGTGACATCAAATCAATCAATAAATTAATCACAAAAATAAAAAGTAAAAACCCAACAACTGTGAGTGCATGTCGATTCCTCCACCGCACAATGTGCGCAATACTAGCGCAACCCTCTTCAACCACAAAGCCACTGCTGTGTAGCTGCATAGCTGCACTGCTAGCTCTCAGGCACTGCCGGGCCCCCCTCCTGAAAGCATCATACCCCCTCCCCAAGACCCCTCGCTTTCAAATCCTTCCGCCTCTGCAGAAGACGCAGGCCCGGGTCAGGCCGGGCCTGGTCGGGCCGACCCGGGCTACCGGGCCCACTGCTCGGTGGGAGCTCGAAACCGAGAGAAGGGACGATTTTGTATGTGTTGGCTTAATGAAGCTGGAGATAATTTCTGATGGATTTGTATGACAGATAATTCAACATTGGCGGTTAATCCATTTGTGTGATATTTTTTAATGATTGAAAGCGTCTTAAAAACTGTGTATTTGTTAATGAATAGTGGTGAAACAAAAAATTGTGGCATGTGTTAATTATCTTGGAGCTATGATAAATTTATTAAATAAATAAGTTAGAGTTATGTAATAGATGGTATTGACAAGCAAGATTTATTGGTGTATACTTGTTTGATAATGTTGTACAACCTCGATCTTTGACAATACAGATATGTTGATGGTCTACTTTGTTTTGAAGCTTTGCTATACAATCCATGTGATATTCCTAATTTAAAACTTTAATAATTGCATATTTAGTCATGTTTCAACAATAATTATGTTTTAAAAGATTGTAAGATAATATAGATTTATTATAGATGGTGGTTTCGTGAAGAAGAGTCACCAAATATAATTAGATAGAGTCATTTTAAATTTGAAAAAAATGTACGAAACTGTATAAATTTATAAAATTAGAATATACAATGTTTAAGTAAGACATGATAACACTTGATGTCAACTCATTGGGTAGAGTTTGAGACTTTCTTCCTCATCAACAATAAGAAGATTTTATTCAAACATAACTGTTGTTTGTTATTATTTTAACCAAAGAAAGTAACAATCTCTTAGTGCATCTATTTACTTCACCAGATTATTTTATGTATGATTAAGCATTTCAAAACTTACAGATTTTGAATAAATGCTAAATAAACATCACCACAAAGAAGACATACTTATTAAATCCTACACACATAGCTTAGACTAATAATAAATATATATAGAAACAAAAAGTTTTGGACAGCTTGGAATTTTTTGAACATACAAATAATAAGTCTTCGTTACTTTGTTGACAGTGATTTTGTTAATTAATGAAAAAAACTACTCATTTCTGAGCTTACTTAACATTAAGCCCTCTTAACTACCAATCTAAAATTTGGTTATCAATAAATACAAGTTATCATGTGGTTATTACGTGGTTATCAAATCACATAATATTACAGTTACATCAAATTGATTTTATATTTTCAACATTTTAAAAATAATACAAATTTTTAGTAATGAGATACCCTTGTCTAGGTAAACGTTTAAATCATTTAATTCCCTCTACTACTACTGCTAATATTTTCACAAAACCACTTCATCTATAACTAAAAAATAAACCCATATTAGTTCATTTCATTAGTAAAAAAAACTTAGATTATAAAATTATGATTCACTAACCTTGTCATGTTAACAACATATCCCTGTATAATTTGGATGTAGAAATGTAATCTACGCGCACCAAATATTTCCTGCTAGAAATAAGAGTTCTTACAAGTAAGAGTAAGAAATTCGGGTTAGGAATTATCTGCTGAGACGGTGACATGGTCGTGAATGGGGACGTGGACCTCGATCTCCATGACCAGTCCGTGAGTTAACCATCTGCCATTTGAAGCTGAGACGCACTTGTGAAGATCAATTGACCTTTACAAAAATTGAGCTGCAAATGTATTTCTGTACAGCATGAAAGTCCAGAACCTTCTATTTCTTTACTGTAACATGGGGGAGAGACAGTGCTCGTGCATCCCATTCAGCGATGCCAAACGTACGGGACTCCATCTCCCTTATGAGATGCAGTATTGCGCCGTGTGTTATTGCGACGACTGCGTGAGCATTACACACAGGCGCTGAAAACACGACTAGCATCTTCCATCCTTTCGGGCCAATCCACGACGATGTGGTGTTCGAAGAGAGCAGAGAATCATATACGATGCGTCATGGATCCTCCTGCTCCTGTAATTTCACTCTGGATGATTGAGGTCGTGTTGTGAGCCACACAACGAATTAGAAATGGCTTCCGCCGACCGTGAAATTCAAGCGCAGGAGACATCATGCGAACTCTAACGAATGACGGGAGGGCACTTGACAGCCGTGTCCACAATCAACAATTAAGCACATGTGACAGACGCATAAGTTGCTTAAAAATAAGCTGCAAGGGAAAATTAAAACCGCATATAGTCGATTTACCACAAATAAGTGGAAAAGAGCACAAGGCACCTGTCGTTCGGATTACTGCATGATGCTTTCGGCTGTGAGAATGCATGGAACAGTGATTCTAGAAGCGCTTCGCAAGAATTGAATTCTTAAGCAAAGCCGTTCACGTTGCCACCACACAAGATTGACAGAATGCAAAAGCCTCGAATCGCGGTCGGGTCTTCGCTAAAGCAACCTGCAACTGGCAAATCCCTTTCATTCCTCATTCCCATCTGCGATTGGCGCTATCCTACTTTTAACTTCGAAAGCGATGCCTGAAATTCCACAACAACTCCTTACCCTAAATAAAGTCGAGCAGGGGACGAAGGGACAGAAATAGTGAAAGTGAACATTGAAGCCATGTGCCGTAAAACAAAAGACTAAAAGAGATAAAATCGTAAAATTCCATTCGTGCGAAAGGAAGTCAGTACATTTTGATAAAATTCATATATTAACTCACCCAATTCAAGGTGCTTTTATATGATTATATATCTAGTTGTTTCATGATTATTATTGATTGGTTTTTCAACATTTTTTTTTATTCCAATACATGTGTCACGAGATTTGATAGATCCACTTAATATTTTGTCATTATCAAAAGTATAAAAATTCTATCAATGTAACCATTTGTCTTTAATTCCATATGAGCAAAAATACATGTAAATTTAAAACTTAGAGAATTAAATACATCTCCAATTGGTAACTTCAAATAATTTAACTAAAAACGAATTTTAAAATCACTCTTATTTTCTCAACTCTTGACATGAAATATATTTCTATCATTTATTGTAATTTTTCAAACCATCAATTTATTTCATTATATTTAAAAATTTATATATTTTTTATTACCAATTTTCAATATATTTACTGTATGAATGTATATATATGTTTATATAATTTAGTATCTCATATTTTGATACAATCAACACACTACTATCAATGCATATATACATATATATATATACACACACACATATATATTCATGTATGTATAGTTGCTATAATTTTAAAATTTTATTCTTGATTCACTTTTCATGTTAACTAAATTTAAAACACATCTATTATAGTTTGATATTAAACATACTTTAAAAACATCTTATTCAATATCTTAGCTTTATTTTCATTTTTTTAAAGCAAAAAGAAATTGCTAGGAAGGCATTTTTGTATTACTATGTGGACACCTCCTGTAACTACACATCCCTATTTACATACAACAAAACTCTTATTTGCAATATAAAGTTTTAGGGTAAACTTATAGTACTTTTCTTCTTATTGATTAATTGAAATCAAATTAAACCAGATTTCATATTATAGTGCATAGAATTCTATTGTTTACTTCAAAAAGCTCATTAAATTTATACAGGATATCTTTTATTGTAATTCAATTATAAGCTCTCTAATGTAAATAGAAATAAAAATAAACATTGTGAAATAATTTTCATAGACTCTAGTAACAATCAGCAATATTTGCAATAGCCATGACACACTTAGCCTCTTTTTCACCCACAGTAGACCCAGTAATTCATAGTAGCTTTTGTAACTAGTCCCCTCCTCAACTTAAATGACTGTCAGCACCAACATTATATATTTTCGGTAGTTGGATGACGAAAGTCATCATCCATCCAAACGATGACGAAGGTGGTGAGAAGCCCAGTTCATTCATCCATATGAACCAGCACAGTCCAATTGATGCCCAGAATCACCTTCCAAAAGTCAATTGAATCTTATCCTTCGCGGATAGCGAGGGACCCTATTGGCTCATCATCGTTCCCTCCTCGTTCCCATGTCAGCCCCCACTGCTATCTCCTTCAAGCTCCCCAACGTTCGAACGTTGCTGTTCTCGACGGGAACAGTCTAAGACAAACAGAACAAATAAAAAAAAAAAGAAAAAAAACCAAACGACAAAGACAAAAGCCACGGTGCTAATATTGCTGATGAATTGTCGCTGTAGGAAAATCAGTTTGACTTATTCGAAAAGTGCCCGCCGACATGGATTTGTACACGTGGAGTTAATTGTTTGGGTGGGTAAATTACGTGGGAACCAGTAATAAGAAGGTGGAGAAGGTGCCCCTATTTTCCCTGCCCGGAAAAAAAATCACCTTCCCTTCATGTTTGCTAGCAGATGTGTTTGATTTTGGAAGAACTTAGAGGTACTTTCCAAATTCGCAACATCGTGGAGGTTTTTACAGCTATGACGAACGCGGTGGCGATGGCGGGGCTCTGCGGCACCTCGACGACGACATTGCTCCTTGGATCACCTGTTAATAGTGACAATGCGTTGAGCGGAAGCAGTAACACGGTGGAGTCTGTGTGTCCAAACAAGTTCGCTGCGGTGGTGGCCCGAGCTGAGAGCAGCGATGATACCCCTGCCATGCAAAGTCGTAGGTCGATTCTCAGCCTTCTGGCCGCAACCTTCGCTGGCACCGCTGTCGTGAATGAAGCGCGTGCTGATGCGCGCTCGGTCAAGCTGGAGCCACCTCCACCGCTATCAGGCGGACTCCGTAAGTACTTGTATGTCGCAAATTGTGTCTCGGTGTTCGCTCACACACCTGCTTACGAGCGTTATTGTCTGCCGTTCATGTCGTCTCACGCGTTGTTCTTTTCTCATGTGAAGTGTAAGATCTACATTCTATGACGCGTGAACCTTCACCGATCCTACTGCCAATGTCTTAGTAATGCGTTCATCCCAATACTACATGATTAGAAAACTTCGACTGGTTGTAGCTGGACTGTGACTTTTGAACCATGGACTCGGTGTAACGACGATCTATTTGGTCTGTCCTACTGGCCGTATCGTACAATTGATGTCGCTGTTTCTTTTTCTTCTGCAGCTGGTACTGATAACGCCGATCAGGCGAGGGACAGACTTGCCTCTGCGGGAGAGATTTTTCATCCAAGCGCTGTCCCCCGCTGACGCAGCTCAAAGGGCCAAATTCTCTGCCCAGGACATGAAGAAGGTGAAGTCATTAATTGACAAGAATGCTTGGTCGTTCGTTCAAAATGGCCTGAGGTCTTCGGCAGGTTACTTGCGATATGACTTGAACACCGTCATTACGTCAAAACCTAAGGAAGAGAGGAAATCTTTCAAGGCTCTTTCTGCTAAGCTCTTCGATTCTCTCAATGCTGTAAGATACTCCACGCCTTGTTACCTTTGTGACTTCTATGGACTGAGTAGATTCTTAATTGCTGTTCTGGCTTTGTGTTATCTGGATCCAAGAGTGTTGACGTCTATTTTTTTTTTGTTGTTGTTGCTGGATTACGCAGCAAGATCGATGAACACGAAAGACGCACAAAAGTACTACTCAGAGACGGTCACTCTGTTGAACGACGTTCTCTCTGAGATTGCGTTAATGTCTCTATCTGGTAGATTTAAGTGTACATCAAGTTTCAGCTGACTCATACACAGCTTGTAATGTGTAAAACCTTAACTGAAAAATTACCTAGCTATTGTATAGTCGTGCAACCTTATTCCATCATTCTCATCGCAATTTATATACTTAATTTAGATTGAGTGCTATTCATTGCAGCCACTTGCACGAGCATTCTCACTGCGTGCAGTTCCCACAAGAATATTTGGAAGACAGTCCAGTACTCGTGGAGTCAGTCAGCTGTTTTTGGCAATCAGTGAACCAAATCTGCAAGGCTGCTTATTAAGGATGGTGAAACAGAACCATCTGGCGAACTGTCCATGTGGACGTTTCACGGTTTTCAACCAATGGCACGGCGACGATACAGTTTCCACTGATAAACTCCTGCGATATGAATGTGATACCAATCTGCACTTGGGTTTTTACCGATTCTGGTCACTGCAATCTAATGGCCGTTGCAGTTGAATTATACATAACACTTAATTTGCCAGTCTGATCCACAAAAGGAAGCTGTCAAACAGTCGTTCGGTTCATTTGGGCATGTCAGGTTTTCAGCTAACAGAAACTTCAAATCAATGTCTCAATTAGCTGAAAACCATACATCTATGTGGTGGAATTCTTCATGGATGAGCAAGCGACGTTGAAACAGAAGGATAGGCACATTTCAAGTGTTGGCAAACATGGGAGTTTGTCGATCTTTGTAGTAGATGTGCAAACTTGCCTATTAGCAAATGGCAGAGAAAAGTTCCCTGAAGTTTACTGCTTGGAATTGTACTACCTCACGAAAAAGAAAATACTGTAACAGCAAATACAGATAAATTAGATGCAAAGGAGAAGATAACTATTCATTCATAAAATGTTCAAATTACAGTGCACGCTGATATGTGAATGACAAACAACAAAACCAAACAAATGTCTCGCAAAGATCAAACCTAAGGTTAACAACCAGTCAAACTTGCAGGACTATGCATCACTACTTAGTTATGAAAGCTGCAGAGTTATTGGGTCACCGCTTCTCAACTCGGCACGAGGGGGTGCTGGATCACCGAATTTCATTAGATGAAGAGCTTCGAAAATGGGTCGTAGTTGCGAAATAACCTGAGCATCCAAATAGTGATCGCATTCAAAACACCACACCGACAGGTCCCTGCAGTTAGAAAACACAGCAGATCATCTCATAAGGTGCTCAACTTCCACGGGTAGGGGCAGCAATAGGCTCGAACCAGTTAGTTATGAGCTGACGAGACTGCTCTTGAGCATCTGTGAAGCCAAGTTAAGATAAATGTATACCGAAATCCTGCAGCGAGGGGATGGTTTGCGTCCTTGAAATGCGCAAGCATGTGACCATTTATGAAACGGCTACAAAAAACCTCGTGGCAGCATAGACACAACCAGTTTTCATTGGGATTCTTACATCTGCATGGAAACTCGCAACGAGTGACAAGTGAGAAAAACCAATCTGCATACACTTAAATATTAAATAGATACTTCGGTTGCATGTTATTTGTGCGCAAATATTCATAAGCATCCTAAAATTTTGGCAAGGATTTATACCTGCTGAAACCCCAAGGATGGTTCAAGAGCACTCAGGGTTGTTCTAAAATTCTTAGAATAATGCTAGCCCGTGGAATGAAAATTAAAATGCACATCAAGGATGTCCATATTCTATCGTACCAGATCGCCAAGGTTTTGAGGAAACATGCAGGACGCCTTACACAGAACACAAAGCATCAAACTGTGGTAAGCTTTGCGTGACGCCATTCAAGTGATGAAGATGTGGGCATTCGATGTAAGCCTCAACCCATCCTGATATCTCTCCCACGAAATCGTATCCAGTTTCCTCGCCCTAATATGACAACCCCATTCTCTGTTAAAAACCAATTCATCTAGACCCGTACAGGAAATCGATCCGCCATAATGTACAAGACCAATTCCATACTCCACCTTACTAGAAACCCAAAATAATCCCAATTTCTACACACAAACCCTAATTACAAGTTGCAGGATAAAGTCTGGATGCGAGCGTGTGTCGGGGGCGCAAGAAAGAAAACAATTCACCAGAAAGAAAATGAAAACCTCACCGCCGTCGTGGAACCACTCGCCATGTCAGGGGTTCGCCAAAGATTGCAGAAAAATTGGTCCACTTCGCAAGTGCTCAAGGTTGAATCGATTGACCTGCTCAACACTACCGACAATAGGTGAAATACTTCAACACAGACCAAATTGTAGAGAGAGCCGCAGTTCAACAATTCGCACAAGCGTTGGGGCGATAGAGTCGGTGAAACTGATTCCGCGTGTGAGCGACGCCAAAAATCTGCAGCAATTTGCGATGTGTCTCGTTGTTTCAGAAACAGAGCGTCATGGTGGAATCCATCAAGCAATGGGGCATATCAGGAAAATAAGCCTAGGTGATACTGATGAGAAGAACAAAGACCAAAAACCTCTTAATATAATTCAAAACCACTGTTTAAAATAACATGTAAAACAACATTGACTACCATTTAATATGACAAAAAATGTATCATGTGGTACAAAATTACTATGTTATGTTAATTGTATTCTACACTCTACTGTAGTTGTTTGTAAAAAAACGAATATTGAAAGCACTTGATAATATATTTTATTTAAAAAATATTATTTGTATATTAAATACTGCATATGGAAATCAAGATGTAGTATCCATTTTGCATTCAAAATATGCTGCAAATAACCACTTGCAAAAATGTACTAATGCACACAAACATTAAAATATCTACAGACAAGGACAACAAGCTATATTAGAAAATGTATATTTCATATCTAAACAACACTGTGTATATTTCGACACTGAATATATCTTTTAATTTTTATATAAATGATTTAAAAAAGTGACATTAATATTTTACAATTTAAAAACTTATCAATTGTATAGTCTATAATCATTGTTAACATAAATCACATAGTTTCAAATAAAATATTTTCTACAAAGATAATGGTTTTGTTTAGTTTTGTTGTAACATTCTGTTTAAAAGTTTAAGGTTAATAAAGACTTGTCTAATTGAGGTAAGTATAGATAATTTGGAATTAATAATACTAAATCATTACAAATATATATTTTTAATATATTTTTTAATACTTTTTTATAACAACCTTTATAAGCTAAAATAGGTCCAAATTATAAAAAAAAATATTAATTCAAATATTTAAAGATTTTTTTTGATCCAGATATAACGTCATAAAAATAAGTATACTCAATTTTTGGGTCAAGGCTCAAAATTTGTTCAATTCAATTATTTTTTAAGAAAATCTAAAGCATGATCTTTAAACTCATATAAATTTAAATTCCACTCTGTAAATTTCTTAAGAACCATATATATATATATATATATATATATATTTATACAATTAGTATTAATTTATCAAAATAAATATTTTTCTAAAAATAAAAATATTTATTTTTAAAATTTTTTAAGGATTAATCAACTTTATTCTTTATTCTTTAAATGAGAAAATTTGATTGTTTTTAAATTCTAAGAAAATAAACTACTAACTTCAAAATTTATTAATTTTTTTGTTATTATTATTTTAAATTTTAGAACACATGAAAACTTAATTTTTTAAAAAATAAAATCATAAGAGATATACTAAAAATAATTAAAGGCATTTTTAGACTTAAAAATATCTATGTTTCTAATTTTGTAGTAATTAGAACAAATATTTTTGATTTTTAGATATTTGTATGAAAACTAAACAATTGGCAAATCTAATATAATTTAAAAATAATATTACAAATTATTTAAATATCTATGACTTCTAACAATAAATCAAATCTAAAGTAAATTTATTATTATGTAAAAATTTAAATTTAAATTATTATTTCAAAATCACAACCAAGATCTATATATATATATATATATATATATATATATATATATATATATACACCTCTCTCTCTCTCTCTTTCTATATATATATATATATATATATATATATACATATAAACAAATATTTTTGAAGGACTTACATATCTCAAATAATTTAACTAATGTTCTATCTAAAAAGATTATTTTAACTTACAATGCTATTAAAATTAATTTTATTTTTATAAAATATTTGATTTTGTTTATTTTGGAAATGAGAATAGTGCTTCTCTTTCTTAACATACTTGCACATAAGACCCATTTCACTCATAATTTTAACTTAAGAAATAAAAACTTATATTTAATCTCAAATCCTAATGTCATTTTTATTAATTATATTTTAATTAAAATTCAAGCACAAAAATATAAGTATTTAGGAAAAATAATTTTTAATTTTAATCTTTTATATAATATGTTAAAAGTTTAGACATTGTTTATAAAGTTGCAAAATATCTTAAATAACTTTGAGACTTCTAATAGTATTTAATACACTATCATTATTTAAATATTATTTTTTTATTTATTTAGGAAGCTCTATTGAAAAATTCTATTGTATATAATAAGATTTTATATTCTTTCTTTTAGCCAAAGACACAAAACTAGACATAATTCAATACATTCATGTATCATTAAAGAAAATATAGATTTAGTTGAAAAGAAATAGATATAAGATGGAAAAGAACTAGAATGAGTATTGTCAAATACAAAGAAATTAAAGAATCTTGAACTAAGATTGGAATATAAAAAATGAGTTAGTTGGAAAGATGATGGCATCATTCTTATCTCCATATATACTATCTACTAATAATGCCTTGTGGAAGCTTCTTTATAAACTACACCACTTGTAGCTCAAGTCTAAATTTGTAATTTGCTTTCAACACAATTTTTTAGAAGTAAGAAATTTAAAGGATGAGTTTCAATAATTACATAGTATATCTAAAAAAAACTTAAAGATTCAATGTACTTTATTAAGTCGTATAAAATTCAACCTAAAAAATATATTAGACATTTTTTTGAAGAAGAGTTTCAATTTTTTTTTGAAGTTCTAATTGTAATAAAAAAATAATATATGAAGTGTTTAGAAACATTTGTTCTAGCAATTTTCATGTTCTTAATATCATGTAAAAATAAACCTAAATCAAATTAATCAATTTTTTCTTCTATCAATTTTAAATTATATCTTTACCACTACCGACTAAAAATCTAATTCTTTTTATAACTCTCAAAGAAATTAAAAACAATACGTAAAAAATAATGTAGCACTTAAAAATAAACCTAAATAGCAATACAATATTCCACTTTATCCAAACATTACATCTGTTAGACATAAATATAAAAGATTCAATTGTGGGATGCAACTCATTATATATGTGTGTATATATATATATATAATTGAAAAGGCTACTTTGAGTAGGATTTTAAAAATTTATAGAAGTTATAGATTGATTGTCTCATATTGTCTTAATAAAGAAAGAAGAAACAAGCTCAAAATGTATGTGGATTAATAGAATTTGAATAAGTATACTTAAAAGAATTATTTTATATTAACTTTTACTACTTTTATAATAGATACTATGATAGATCATGATGTATTTAATTTTATGAATAATTACTTTAGTTACAATCAAGTATCTATGGTTCTTGAAGATTTATACAACATTCTCTATCTCCTTAGCATCACAAATATACAAAAGTTACAAACAAAAGTAAAAGATAGAATACTATCTTTTTTGGATCTTGTTTCTTTTATAACAAAGATTTACTATTCTTCATCTTAGTTTTGATAGTTATTGTCAATAGAAAGCCTCAACCTTCTTTACTGCATTTGTAAGATTCTTTATAGGCTTATATGTACGTTTATTAATATCATATTTATACCATTGAACATGATATTTAAATCTATTCTAGCATTTTTTTAAATCTAAGAGTTCTTCTATGTTAAAGTCTTCATTGTTATTCAATTCTATAAGAGGAGGTTGCATTTATCTTCTTCTCGAGATATTCATTGTCTCATATGGTTGAAGAAGAGACGTGTGGAATATGTAATAGATCTTCATAGACTCTAATAGATATAATTAATAAGCAACAAGATTGAATTTTTTACAAATAAAAAAGATCTAAGTCAATAATAGTCAAACTTGTCACAAAGATAAATAGTCTTAATATTACAACAAAGTAGCTACATCTTGTCATCGACATTAAATTGTGATTGTCACTTGTGATAAGCATTCACATTGATCTTTTGTCATTTTGGAGCTTCTTTTAAATATGCCTTTATTATTGCATGTAGCTTTGACAAATAGTTTGCCAATTTTTTTGCCAGAAAATTAATAAATTTTAAAAAATTAAAAATATTAAATTATGGATGATAACCATAATTGGCAAAGAAATGTATTTTTTGAATAGAAGAATGTATTAAATTATTACATGCAAAATTTGCTAATGACAAAAGAGTTGTCTAATAATTTTGATAATAGTTAATGGTGCCTCTCAAATATTCTTCCAAAACTTGATTCATCCATTATTATGTGGTAATAGAATTATATAGTAAAAAATAAAAAATATGGATGCTTTATAGAAGAATCTAGTAGAAAGATGTAATAAAAAAAAATAAATAAAAAGATAGTAAAAGATATTTTCTTATTGCTACTTTTTTTTTCAAGAGACTTCTATTCATTTTTTAGAGGTATAAATGAGCCAAATGAAAGTAAATAAAATAAGAAATTAACATAAACATATTTAAAAAAGAATCAAAAATCAGATTAATGCAAAATTTACCTCAAATTATCAAAAATTAATACCTAGAGAGGACTGGTTGTCAACATGGATCAAAATCAGACCTTGAGGCACAAAACTATATTCATATAGTGATTCCAAGTTCTTTAATAGGTTGAAGAATAGAATTTGAGGACAAACTTGAAGAAATATTTTATGGCATTGTTTTTTTATCACTTGAATGAATATTGAAATTTTGAAGGATTTTCAAAGTTATTAATATTTTTGGTGGGATTAGAATTTAAAATTAAAAATATGTTTATAAATTTAAGAGTTTCTTGAGTGTTTTAGTATGTGTATGGATAAAATTTAGGAAGTATGTTGATGTATTAGTTGTAAATGTGTATGTTAATATCAATCAAATGGATAGATTGAAATAAATGAAGATTTTTGTTGCTTGAGATCTTAGAAATCAGAGTTTGAAGGTTAGTGGATGTTTCTAAGATCTTCAATAATTTTCAATTGGATTGAAATGATTTTTTTTATGAATAGTAGACGAGATTTCTCACATTTTGGTGAAATTTGAAAGTAATTCAATAGTTTAAAAGAAGGTATTGATGCTAGAAGTTCAATATTTAAGTTGGAGTAGAAGGCTACTCAATACTCAATTGGATTATTATGCATTTCTCTCAACTGATAAGTGCAATCAATTTCATCTTTCTTGTCCTTGTTTCTAACTAAGATATTAAAAAGTCTGCAAATTTTGAATTGATATCAATGATTTAATCATTAGTTGTTGAAGTTCTACTTTGCTATAA